CAGCCAGTCTCCTGGACTCAAATCAGGACTGCTATCACTGCATCCTGAATGCCTTGCTCAGATATGGCTGCCACATCATGAAGGCGTATAAAATCACGATGGTGAAAGGTCTGAAATTCATGAGCATCTAAACGTGAAATGAGATGCTACATGTCCTTATAAGCTGAATATCTCAAAAGGACTATCAGGTGAAAGGAGGTGCCAGCCAGTTGTGCGTGGCCTGGAATGGAAGTTTGGGCCTGTCATTGATGCATAGGAATTCAAGGGAAGGTATCAACTTCATCTTATGAAGATCTACTATAAAGAAAATTGTATCGTAGGGCCCCAAAGGGATAGGAGAACATATTCCCTTAGAGATACTTGGAAGCTCGAAGACCACTTACCTGACAAAAGGACTCCTGTTCAGTGGCTGTATGTATTGGGAGAGGGTGGAGGTATAGCAGAGGCCAGTCTGGCTCCAAAACCTGGCTGATCAGCAGAATCACTAGTGTTGTCTAGAAAATACACATTCCAGGCTGGGTGCAGTGGCTCACTCCTAATCCCAGCACCTTGGGAGGCTGAGGTGGGCAAATTACTTGAGGCCAGTTCAAGACCAACCTGGCCAACATGGTGAAACCCCATCTCTACTAAAACTATAAAAGTTACCCAGGTGTAGTGGCACACGCCTGTAGTCTCAGCTACTCAGGAGGCTGAGACAGGAGAATTGCTTGAGCCCAGGTGGCACAGGTGGCAGTGAGCCGAGATCACATCACTGCACTCCAGACTGGGTGACAGAGCAAGACTCTCTCAAAAAAAAGAAAAGAAAAGAAAATACTGATTCTAGCCTCACATCAAATCTACAGAATCAAAACCTCAAGAACAGTTGGATAATTTATTTTTTGAGGCAGATTATTCTAGATTAAGACTAGTCATAACAATATGAACCTTGATTGAAACCTACTTTTAGGAGGGAAAAGAGCGTTTAAATGACATTTTGGAACGCCCAGGCAAATTTTAATAGGAACTGTTTATTAGACGATATTGAATTCTGGTAATTTTCTTGGATGTGATATTTTAGAATTATTGGGGAATGTCCTTATTCTTAGGTGATACAAGCTGAAGTATCAAAAAGGTGAAGCGTGTCATGTCTACAATTTACTTTTTTTAAAAAACCCAGCAAATTACTTTTAATAATTTTGAAAAAAGAGAAAGCACGAGACAAAATTTGGGGTGGGGGGAAATCATTGCACTCTCTTTCAACTTTTTTGTGGGCTTGAAATTTCTCAAAATAAAGTTGGGGGGAGGACTACGCTCCTAGGCTATTCTAATGTGAGCCAAACATGAGACTCAGTGGACAAGATAGCCTCGGCTATTCCATCCAGCCTGACAGCCAGGTGCCCGATGTCTGAAGCAGTCTGCGTTTTGTGGCTTACAGAGCTGGACGTTTGATACTGGGGTGGTGCCACCGCTGAGGCGAAGCCTTGCAGTGACACTAGGCCAGTGACCCCCAGAGGGACCTGGCACGCTCAGAGGCAGTCCACCCCTTGGCCACAAGTGGCATGTTGAGCAGGAGGAAAGAAGCCCATCGACACCCCCGCTGTCATGAACTGCATGGGGCCCATGTCAATGCAATCCATCTCGCTCTGCCTCATGACCTGAAGTTTGCTCCCTGACAGTAGGGCTAGACCAGAAAAAGGAACACTGGATCCCTGATAGACAATCGTAAGAATGGCGACACCCAGGACAGCATGCCAGATGGAGGCTAGCCATGGAGACCGGCAGGAGCAGGAGTTTCACGCCTGATGGGAGCCCAGCCCTGACCAAATCCACCACAATGAACTAGAGTGAGGATACAGGAGGCACATGGAGCTGTGCCAGGAGGCAGGACAGATGGGTGAGGGGCATGAAGGAGTGAGCTGGGAACAAACAGCAGAGCCTCAGTACAGGTTAGGTTCAGGGATGGGCTGCTAATGGGAAGTTTGTGATTCCTGGAGCTGATGTCAATGACACTTATGCACTCACAAGGATGAGGCCAGAGGACACAGGTAGGTGACATGGCAACCTTCAGTCACCCCAAGGATGGAGCCCAGCCTATAGCTCTCATCAAAGGTCTGAAGGAAAGACAAAAGTTTTCCATTGCTTGAAGGTCAAGGTACGAAGGGCGGAAATATTCACAGGTATTTAATAAGGGGGCTGGCACCCTTCTCCTAACCTTTGCAATGTTTTGTATTGCTACACACAATAGTGGTGAAACAGCCTCACTTCAGAGACCAGAGTTTGGAATTTCACAATAAAGGCATCACTGAGGGAGAAGAGAAACTTGGGATGTGTGTTTCCAGCAGAAGAGCCTACCCAGACTGGCACTTCCTCCACAGCAGCCTTTCCCTCAGACCAGGGACGGAGGGTAAAGGGAACACAGGCAGAAACTCAGGCTCAGCCTACGCTGATTCTAAGTCCAGGATCGTCAACAGCCACACTGCGGGGGCTGAGGTGATACGACAGGAGGAGACTTCTGACCTCTAACCAATTATTTACATTTCAAGTTTGTTTGGGGAACTCTTTTTTTTTCTTTTTTGGACAGAGTCTTGGTCTGTTGCCCAGGCTGGAGTACAGTGGCACAATCTTGGCTCACTGCAACCTCTGCCTCCCAGGTTCAAGCAATCCTCCTGCCTCAGCCTCCCGAGTAGCTGGGACTACAGACATGCGCCACCACGCCCGGCTTTTTTGGATTTTAGTAGAGATGGGGTTTCACCATGTTGGCCAGGATGGTCTCGATCTCCTGACCTCGTGATCCACCCGCCTCGGCCTCCCAAAGTGCTGGGATTACAGGCGTGAGCCACCACACTGAGCTGGGGAACTCTTAATGAAACTGTTGAGACAATTCAAGCACCACTGTTACACACTAACAAATTTTTTCAAAGTCTCCCTGATTTGCAAATCATTTAAATAAATAAACAAATTTTAAAAAGTGAGGACTGGCAGACTGCAACTTTGTAATACAAGCTTTTACCTCCATTTATCACAATGACTGGGTAGCATCTTTCAAAAGAAATAAAGCCCTTAGAAACTTTATTAATCTAAAAATAGAGATTCTACCATCTAGGTGAAGAGACAGGAGCAAGAAGAGCAGGACCAGCAACTCCAAAGCTGCCGGCAACGCGGGTCAGCACAGAGCACAGCCACAGGGGCGCTGGGAGCCCGCCTCTAGAGATGGGCAGCAGGACTGAGCCCACAGAGCTTCCCCCTCACACTCCTGGAGAAACAACCAGGTCCCACCATCACCTCTCCATTGAGAAGAGAAAATAACAGATTGTTTGGTCACAGTGACATTTTGGCTGTACATTCCTGGGGAGAGGAGAACTGGCACAACTTAATGGGAACAGTGTGATACAACAGAATGGCACTCATCGGGCTACTGTGTTCTGACCCCTCAACTTTTCTTTTTCACCCAAACAAAAGAGCAGAACAAAGCCAATCATTATCATCTTGTCTTTATCTTAAAGCCTTGGCATTTCTCTTAGAACACACACACCACAAAAATCTTCCTTGTGATACCACTTGGAAAAGACAGCAGTGGTATGACAGATTCAGACAAGTTCTTAGGCCCCAAGACTTTTGACTGACAATACTCAGGATGGTCCATGAAAGGACTCCATTTAAACCCAAATAAAGAGATCTGGTTCAGAAACACAGCCACAATTGCCCCCAGGCATGCAAAATGCCTTTGGACCTTTGGCCCAAAGTACCACTTGCCCTATGCTAGGTAGACAAACAGGCGCAGAGGCAAGCAAATCATGAGGTGGTGACTTTGTGGGCAGACCTTTTTCTTTTTTTTTTTTTTTTGAAGACAGGGTCTCCCTCTATCACCCAGGCTGGAGTGCAGTGGCACAATCATGGCCCATCGCAGCCTCGACCTGCTGGGCTCAAGTGATCCCTCCCAACTCAATCTCCCAAGTAGCTGGGATTACAGGTGTGCACCATCACACCAAGCTAATTTTTGTATTTTTTGTAGAGACAGGGTTTCATTATGCTGCCTAGGCTGGTCTCAAACTCCTGGGCTGAAGCGATCCACCCACCTCAATTTCCCAAAGTGCTAAGTATAGGCCTTAGCCACAGTGCCTGGCTGTAGACCCTTCTTAGAGTCTACAGCTCACCTGGAAAACAAGAACACATCAATTTGGCAGTATCTGGTCACTGAAAGAAGTGTATCTCTAGAGGCAGGTATGAGCTCTAACAAATCGCACAAAGTATTACCCTCTAATTCCCAAGTACCCACTCTGATTATCTCTTTTCAAAGAGCTAAGGAGGGTTCAATTCAAAGGACAGTAAAGTCCACTTGGCTTGCATAGCAGACGAGAAACCAGACTCTTCTTACCAAGCACGCCCCGGGCCCACAAACACTCATGGAAATAGGTATATACTTCTGCATCAAAAGCCATCCATCCATGTCAGGAAAGATATGAATCTGCCTCAGCTGTCTTTCTTCTCTCAGATCTGCCTGCCTCACACTTTGTGGATGACTACTTTGGAAAAGTGAAACCTGGGTAAGACATAAGCTCTCCAAGCCTCAATTTTCTCACAGGTAAAATGGGGATAGTGGTATTTATCTCAGAGGGTCATTGTGAGATAACACATGTAAAGCACTGAGCCTAACACACAGAAACATTTAGTGAGCAGATGAGTGCTTCTACATAGAAGGAGAGAAGCAGCAGGTTCATGAGAGGAGAAAGAAGAAACAAATATACATGCATGTGGACAGGAACTACAGAGAAGATTTCTAAAAGCCGCCTCCAAGACCAATTCAGGTCCTAGGGGGGAAAAATGTACAACACTGAGTTCTAAGAAGGCTGAGCAGATACATCAAGGACAACACATGGTTTGGAGGCATGAAACCAAACAGTGCCTTCCCAATACTCTACACCCAGAGGGACACAAATGCATGTCATCTTGACACAAGATCACCCCTCCATCAGCAGGTGTCACAGCTCCCTCAATAATTAGTTCCTGAGTCAAACATTGTAGATCTTTTGTCTTTTGGGGGAATTCTTAGTCGTAAATTTAGGATTCCATCACTTGTTTAAAGCAAAGCCACTCGTAGCTGAGGGTTATGGTGTGTGTCTGTAGTCCCAGCTGCTCAGGAGGCAGAGGCAGGAGGATTGCTTAAGCCCAGAAGTTCGAGGCTGTAGTGAGCTATGATTGCACCACTGGAGTCTAGCCTGGATGACATACCGAGACCTGATGTCTTAAAGAAAAAAATTTTAAAAAGCAAAAAGCAAAGCCACTAAAATATGTTAGCCTAAAGAGGGCATGCCTGCTCCATTACAGACGGTATCACACATCCTGAGAGTAAAAACTAAGAAGGCTTTCTTCTCTGGGTTCCTGACTGCTCCCTTGCTTTAAGTTCTTCTAGCTTCTTCTCATAGCGACTCATGAAGTAATCATCTGGTTCAATCCCTGCATTCTTCAAGTTTTCCAAGATCTTTTCCAGTCTGAGCACTGATCGGGCTCCCTCAATCTTTCTTGCGCTCAAGTACAAGGTGAATTCCTGGAAATCCAAGAGCTTACAGGTGTCCACAGAGCAGATATTCCGGATGTCACTAGTTCTATCCAAATGAGGAAAAAACACCAGTCCTGATAACTTCTCTAGGTCCTGGAGGCTCACTTGGAACTCGGTTAACTGAGGTTGGAAGCCAATGGCTTCATTGGGTACCACAAAGGCCCCTAGTGCCAGTGGTTCGGTAGAGACTGGGCTTCTGCGGGCCAGGATCACCTTATAAAGGTGTGAGGGGACTGCCACGTTGTCCGCACCAATCACCTAAAAACAAAGCAGCCACATTAGTGATGCCAATTTGTGCTAGCAGTTCACAAATTTTTTCCAAAAAAACTTATTTAATGCATTGCTGAAATGTACTTAAAAACCATCCCACTCTAGTCTAATGAATCTAAATTCCACTGCCAAAGACAATAAACTGACACAGAAATTCACAGAGAAGACGAGTAGCTAACAGGTCAATTCTGATCACATTCTTTAAAATAACACAACCCCAGGCCAGGCATGGTGGCTCACACCTATAATCCCAGCACTGTGGGAGGCTAAGGTGGGTAGGCCACTTGAGGTCAGGACTTCAGACCAGCCTGGCCAACATGGTGAAACCCCATCTTTACAAAAAAAAAAAATACAAAAATTAGCTGGGTGTGGTGGTGGGTGCCTGTAATCCCAGCTACTTGGGAGGCTGAGGCAGAGAATCGCTTAAACCCAGGAGGCAGAGGTTGCAGCAAGCCAAGATTGCACCACCGCACTCCAGCCTGGCCAATGGAGCAAGACTCCATCTCAAAAAATAAAAATAAAATAATGTCACCCCAAAGTGCAGGGGTCACAGTCTCTGCCCTGTTTGTAGGACAAAGGACAAAGGAATGCCATGAGTGAGTCCTGGTTTTTTAATGGACAAGAAAAGCTGTCACTTTCTCTTCATCTCATAATCAGAACTTCTGGTGCTCGACACATTCAAAGGTCACAGCTGCCAGCTTGGTACCCCCAGCTCCAGAAATAAAAACACGGCCTTAGTTGATGAAATTCATCAGGGAACTAAACAGCTTTTAGAGAAGTAGCCAGGTGCCACACCAACATTACCATTTTCCAGGATCACTTCAATTAGGGCTAATTTTTAAAATTAAATTACATAAGTGTAAATGCTGTTTGCTCAAAGTTTTGCATTCTTGGGCTTGTAACCAAAGAACTTCTAAACATGTTGTCCAATCAAACACTTTGGAAAGGTACCCACACAATGAAGAAGCCAGAGCCAGGGTGAGGCCTAGAAAACGTAACTGAGTTGTGTGGGTTGGGTGAAATTAATGAAATAACATTATTACAAAATCTTGTCAAATTTCCTCCCAATTGGCTTAAAAGCCTTATCTGTTTTCTGAAAAGGAAAAATCTCAACATCTATTTACTTAATGGTCCCCAATAAAATGACATAATCCAACTAAAATATGCTCATGGTATTACTGCCCCTCCCGGGCCCTTCCCTGGTAAGAGTCAGTTTTCTTTCCTGATCACACAGGTCTGCCTGCAGCAAGATTCCTTGCTAGGAGCCCAAATAAGGCAGAGACAAGACAGCTACAAAGGAAGTTTCTTTTCTGCTTTTTTCCAAGCTCCTACCTACATGGCACACAGCCTGGGAACTCCATGGCCATCTGCTGTCTGTCACACAGGAAGGTCCCACTGCCAAGACCAATTTCAGAGCATCAGGGAAGACCTATGCACAGGAATGAGTTCCATAACCAAGTGTCTTTGAAGTTACTGAAAGCGGCTGGTCAGAGTGTGCTGTAGAGTTAAGTCTATGAAACTATACAAACTACAGACACAAAGTCCCAGTCCTTACCCCAAAAATTCATTTATGCAGCTAGAAAGATAAACATACTCTTCAAAGCAGAAAATATTCTGAGAACCCTATGAAGTCTACAATTAACCCACAAATCACCAAAAGATGTTAATTCAACAATGCAAGTCAGAGGTCCTGTGCTTTGCACTGCTGAAAATACAGAAAAGAATATGCTTTAAAGTATATGCAGCTGGTACCTCCACTCAAGAAGCTTACCATCTAGAGTGGGAACCAAGACCTGCAGCTTTCACTACAGGTAGAATAAGGTTAGGTGCCAATACAAAGCACAAATAACAGCACTAAGGGGATTGAGGGGAAGCTGGGGGCCAGAACCGAGAGCACAGATGCAGCTGAGCCATAGTTTGCAACGGGAGAAGGTGAAAGGGGCTTCAAGTATTCTAGGCGCTAGCTACGGATCTAAGAGTTAAACAAAGTCTTGGTGCCACCTCGTGGATATTCTCTATCACTGCAGCACAGCTCATCTCAGATTCTAACCGTAAGAAGCCTTCAAGAAGAACACTATTTTCTCTCCTCACGGACTACTCCTTGTCTACAAACAAACGGCAATTTTCAAAAATAATTAGCATGCCCATTGCTGCAAACTAGAGCTTCTAATCAGGTTCATTAAATTCCAGCCAAAAGTAAACACGTTTGACACTTTAAGTTCTACAGCTTTACTTTATGGAAATATATCATTTATCCAGGTGTTTAAAAACTCTTAAAATTGCTAGGGGACCTCAATTCTACTTTTGAGAAACCTCATGGACACAGAAATTCCTATTAGGAACCACAGGTGTGATCCTTCTACCCATGACCACCTCACAATATTTCAAAGGGGTAAAATATTTTCCCTAAAACTAAGGAGAAAACTAAAAACTTAGGCACCACTCACTCATCTCTTTTCTGATTCAGTCTTTGTTCTTAGGAAGCAAACATCCTTCATCTAATACTAGGGACAGGTCCTAGCCGGATATTCAGAAAAAAACACTGTTTCTTCCTTGAATTTAAGACACTTTAAAAAAAAAAAAAAAAAAAAAAGCAATTTTAAAATATTTTAGAGCTGTCTTCTTCAAAGACAACTCAACCTACATAATAATTTTTTTCTACTTTTAGAAAAATTGGGAGACTTCCAGCATTGTTTCTAAACACTAGTAGAGGTTTGGCGGATTGGAAGCCCCGAGAGCTGGTCAGGCCTGGCTTTGCCACTAAGCCGCAAGCCACGTCCACCCATTTCCCGTTTCTTCATTATAAAATACCTAACAGCTATCTCCATGGGTGGACTGCATTTTTCTGTTTTATAAATGCCTCTCTCATGGAATTATTATGAAGATACAATGACATGTTAGCTAAAAAATTTTTCAAAATCTACAAGACCTATGTAAAAAGCTATTTTTGTAATGAACAGATTCAAAAGATACAGCTGCATCTGGTACAAAAGATGGTTTTACAGGGGGATAGTGGGGAAACGTATAATGAAGCAAGATTAGACTAGTTACAAGTCAACAATTAGGTTTCAGGGGAGAAAGCAACTTGGGCACAAATGATGTCCAAAACAGGACTCAAAGGCTTCACGCAAACCCAGCCTAGTTAATCAGAGAGTCAGCAAACAACCCTTTTCATGTAAGATTTAGGTATGAAAATATAATGCAAAGAAAATCCTTGCTGCTGTTGAATTACCAAGGCGCCCTGAACTCTACTCAAGACTGTAGCAAAAACTGGAAGCCAACTGGGAGTTAACCAGAAAATACAATGCATGAGCTGGCACTCATTCGCAGCCTGAAGCTAGTTTTCTTACACGCTGGCCTGAGCTTGTTCCCTTCCATCCAAGAGACAGAAACGACAATTTGCCACCACCACCCGTGCCACCCAGCCCCAGAAGAGACCCACAACAAACAATACCACATTAAGCCTGCCATTTGTAAGGTGCTACATACAGTAACTGTGCCTCCAGTAAACTATTAAGCAGCATCAAGAGGAAAAAATATGTACCTGCTAGAATTAGACAGATATATTTGGTTACATTCCCCTGCTAAGACAAAAAAAGAACCTCCAAAAATAAAACTAGAGGGACAGATCAAGAGACCAAGCCCTTAAAAAGCCATGGCCATCAAGTGAAAGAAAGAATCCATGGGAGTTTGATAAACAACAAATCCGAACCGGAAGGGGAGAAGGAACAAGAACAGGGAGGGAGTCGCAAGGTGTGGTGAAGTCCACAAGAACGTGGCGCCCCCCTGTGTCTTGTGTAAATCCTCAGGAGATGCTTGTGTGGCAGCAGAAACCCTGGAAGACGGTACGCCTCAAGCTGGGGTACCTGCTCCGGGCTAAAGGGTAGGAGCCTGGTCCGTCCCGATAGAACGAGCACCCTCTTTCTAGGCTGTCAGTGGTACGTGAAGATTTAGGGTAAGGGCAGGGAAACAACCAGTCAAATAATTTAACTTTCATTAAAACAAATAGATATGGAAATGAACAAAAGCATTCCCTAAATATAAAGCAAGAGACTTAAAAAAATATATATTACTCCTTTATCTCTTCAGGTGATGTCTCAAGACTCCTGAGGGCGCTTTTAATTTCCTCCCCTTAGGGTTAGTACGTGGAAGTTTGCAAAGTGCTGCTATAGAACAACACAGGTTGTTAAATATTTCTAACATTACCACCACCGCCCGCCAAGTTGTAAAATCTGAAGCTCACTTTCCTGTCAGGCCGTTTACAATGTCCAAGCCAGAATCTTCAGGTATGTCTCACTTGTCTGGAATCAGTCTCTTCTTGAAACAGGAACATCAGAGAAAGCACATGGATGAACTCAGCTATAATAAAGGGGGTGATTCTGATTAGAGCTGTCAGATGACTCACTTCTGATAAAATCACTGCTACGAATCTTCCCTCAGGCTCACATTCACTCAAGTTCTATGATGATGGGTTCCTTTCCTACATATTCTAACAGATATTTCTGCCTCGCTATAAGGAATCCTCCTCTTGGCCCATTTTCTGTCATTTTTGCATGCCAGCAAATATCACTTGTAACTGCTCTCTATCCACACCATCTTTTATGATCTGCTAACCTTAAGCTTTTGTATATGAACAGCACGGCAATTCATTTACTATAAACTTGAGAGCTTCAAAGAACAGCACTATGAATAACTGGCATTGGTCAGACAGATTCATGTTTGGATGTCCTCTTTTTTTTTTTTTTTTTTTTTTGAGACGGAGTTTCGCTCTTGTTACCCAGGCTGGAGTGCAATGGCGCGATCTCGGCTCACCACAACCTCCGCCTCCTGGGTTCAGGCAATTCTCCTACCTCAGCCTCCTGAGTAGCTGGGATTACAGGCATGAGCCACCATGCCCAGCTAATTTTTTGTATTTTTAGTAGAGACGGGGTTTCACCATGTTGACGAGGATGGTCTTGATCTCTCGACCTCGTGATCCACCCGCCTCG